GCCACTATGAGGCAATTTAGGTTCTCCACACTAGCCTGCTTGACATTCTCGACTATATCCTGGGGATGAGACTCAATATTTCAATGATCTCGTGAAAGATTGTAAGTCAATTGATTTAGAGAGACATCTGTAATTAGCTATCGACCCTAAAGTAAACAAGTAGATAATTCGACAGCTAACACTGTTGTTACCTAAGGCAAGATTGCAAGAAATCATTTAACCCCTTTGCTTTGGGCCAATATTTTTGAAGAAGTTCCAAATGTTCAAATTTTTAACTTGAAATTTTCAACCATAGTGGATAGGAGGGGAAGTAAGTGGGGAAGAAAAAAAAGAAATGGGCCCGAGCCCGGGATCGAACCGGGGACCTCGCGCAGTCAATGCTTTGGGTGAACCCCTGAAGAAGCTGTTAGTGAACTGTTGGGTGATGATTGGTTGATTCAAGGATAACGTACTAAGCGCGAATCATACCACTAGACCACCCGGGCAATTGATATCAGGATCGCCAAATTTCTCGATCTCAGTACTTAGAGAGCGGGATTTAATGTCCATCTTGTACTTAATCTATAAACCAATGTAAGGAATATCGTTAGCTAGCTTAGCGAAACACGGGGATGTCAACCTAAGTTTAGAGAATAATTCCTGCTCTACCGTTGCCTGTTTAGTATCGTCGTCGGATTCTGGAGAAACCTAGCTAGTCCCTCGGCGCGGCGCTGGTGGTGAAGGCGTTGAGCGGTACCGGTCGTTTCGGACTTGACCAGGGCTGGTGGTAGTGGCGGCGTGGTGACAATCTTTCATTCAGCTCTTGATCGCCGGGGACGCGACGCTTGATTCGTGTATGGTTGGAGCTTAACGGTAGCTGCGTCGTAGATTATGATGTACTTGATTAGGTGATAGAAGTAGGTGGCAACGAGGGGGTGTGTGTCTAGGGATCGTTGGACTCTTGGTTTATGGGAGATGACTTCGGCCTTCTTTAGACAAGCAAGATGAGGTGATGGTCTCTGACTTTCCATATTGATTACTTCTACTTGGAAACGAACCTAGTATGGTGGAGAAACTACTGCTGGTGTTGCAATGGATTGCCAGATAAGGCAATTGGATGCCAGGTGTATTGAATCATTAGTTACTTTGGCCTAGTCTGTTCTTTTATAACTATTTAGCTTTGTGCACTTTTTGTGATTTTGATCTGTTGATTCAGAGGGTTGCGGCGAAAGGCCTGGTGTAGATGGGGGGGAGGAAGATTAAACAGACACACTTTCTTTTCGATTTACATCCACATTACACACGTGCTTCTCTGTATTCAATTATAATCAATTCAGCCTACTTCTTGTGTATTTTGACTACTCGCTTATCTTCTATCTGGATGGCCCATTTTGCATTGGTCTCCGCGCGCACCGTACTCGCCCTTTGGTGGGTGCAGTATACCATCGTCCTGTTCATGCTAGTGGTGGTTTGTATGACCTCCTGCCCTTCTCTAGTTGCCTCTATCCTTCCATTCCTCGACCTGTTTGTTTTTGCCCAGACTGCTAGCCTGTATCCCCTTGTGTACTGCGCATTCTTTTACTACGGTAACTCTTTGAGGAGACACCTACCCTATATTCAACCCCTACTTTATTATGTGAGCCTGGTGGGCTTGCAGTTCATCATAGTTGAGGTGGCTTGAGATCTTCTCGTATGGAAATGCGGGTGTGTAGCTGTGGCCTCAGGGACATGAGTGACAGGTTTCTTTTATCTCGCCTACTGGCTAATCGACCACGTAGCATACCCAGTCTACGCTCGTCGACTCGAAACAGTCATTTATGACCTATAAATTCTTTTCAGTATTTGAATGAGCAGAATACGGCTGATAAAAAAAAACGTATCAGCTAATAGTCCCTTAATGTCATAACATGGCTGGCGGGTTTCTTAGGACCTTATCTGTGGCGGGTCCCTAGGTAGCATCTAGCGTAAACTATGGCCCGGGGTATATAGAATAATAGGAGTATTTTTGGTTTTCAGATATTATTGATGTATTTGTCGGAGGGATAGTCGGTAGTGTGGAGTTACTCATTTCTCAGAGCAGTGGTTTAAGACAGCAGAGGTAAATAAAGCATGCCCCACGCGGGCCAGATTATATATTGTACTTAGTGATACCGAAAATCCCTCCCCATCGAGGGTGTTGTAACCGCCTAAAAATTCGCCTAAATGTAGATAAGAAAAAATGTTTAGTAGTTATTAGAGGAGATATCTTATTAGTCATTTAAGTCATTACCTCTCTTAGCGTGACCTTCCAGTTTTGTGAAACGAGCAATGCTTGCTGATTTGACAAAGATTGTTTCATATAGGCAGAATCTGGATATCTTTACATCAACGCCCGGGTGGTCTAGTGGTATGATTCGCGCTTAGTACGTTATCTTTGAATCAACCAATCATCACCCAACAGTTCACTAACAGCTTCTTCAGGGGTTCACCCAAAGCATTGACTGCGCGAGGTCCCCGGTTCGATCCCGGGCTCGGGCCCATTTCTTTTTTCTGTTTTCTTTTTCCCACCTGTTGGATTTTGCAGGCCTCATACGATCGACACCCTAATCAAGTTGCTACACTTGATGTTGAAGCCAGCCGAATTGCTATAATCAAGTGTTATTGCATGAATATTAAAATTCGCAATATGACGTTTAATTCCGGAATAAGTACATTGATAGCTGCTTGCCATATGAGAATGGCAAAGCTGATAACGACTACCTACCACCAATGTAACTTGTGGCTGGCAACAGACAGCGGAGACATCGATACTAGTTCCTGCGCTCTATACCCTATTCCTTCGTCGAGAACTTCTCAATGCTTTAAGTTGAATCACAAATTGAGAGGCCATTAAAGATGGTGGCCAACATGTTTGTGTGGTAGGTTCGCTCGTATCATATAATTAATTGCCTGCCCCCTTCGTATACCCCGAGAAACTACACCTCCAACCTTTCCCCGCCTGCTGAGATAGTCGACCAATAACTGATGGAGATTTCCGGTATCCGTTGTGGAAACTACCATAGGCGATGGTGCTATCTGTTTGCCTCTTAGGCTTCTAAGAGGGCCTCCTTATATTCTCCTGCTTCTGCTTTCTTTGATATCCCTCGAGAACAGGATCAATTTCATCGTGACTTTGTGCTTCCTGCCAATCCGTGTTTACACAGCCCAACTCACCTACGTACTACCATTTAACCACTTTCGCCATCAACTTGGCTCACTGGGCCAGATGCCCTTTAAAACGTCGCTCCGCTACTGGAGATACTAGAGATCGCGATATCTTCGCTCTACGGATTTTGCCTAGTCCTAATCTAACCTTGGAATACTTTTGGACTCCAAGATAACACGCCGTCGTTTCAAAAAAAAATGGTTATTTGGACCGAGCCCAAAGCTTGCACTAACTGTGGCCAAATGGAAGAAGGTCACACGCGGAGAAATTGCCCACAGATCAAATGTTTTCGCTGCAACAGTCACGGCCATATAAGTGAAGCCTGCCCGAACACCGAGTGTAGCTACTGCCATAAAATGGGACACTGCAAATCCAACTGTCCTAAGCTCGAGCGGAAGAAACAGGGCCATCAGGGACACGGCACGAACGAAACATCACTGCCGAGGAATCCTCAGTCAAGAGCTAATCGGATTTCTGCTCCTCCATCCGCGGATTCTCGTCCATTCTCACCCCACCCCAAAGGCTTAAAGGGGCGTCAAAACACAGTTGACCTGACATATACCCTCCCCGGTCAGGTCAACCAGGAAACTACGCAAGTCAGTTCAAGAGTGACCCCAAGTATAGCTATTTACTAATTGAAGATCAGAATTCTTGAGAGCTAGTCCCAAGCGTTGTCTTTCCAGATCTTTCCCGCACAATTAGTCAGGTGGCTTCCCGTCTAGCGACAGATCCCAATGTCTACCTGCAACGGCTTCCATATCACTCGACAATCACCAGTCAAGGAGGTCCAGAAAAGATTACCCAGGTGTTGATGGAGTGGGTTGATCCTCATGTCAGGACACTCGAGGGTAAACTCCTCCGGACGGAAGAGTAAGTATGGCTCGCCGCGTATATGATGTGATTCTGACATCCGCACAGTCTTCTTGCTGTACAGGCGCGCCAGGATAACATTTGGGGCCCAGATGGAGGTTATGTTGATATCGTCACTGACTTGAGAAACAACGAATACTGGCGTGCATACCCTGGTCAGTCCAGGGAACCATCAGAACGCATCAAGATCCACAATCGGCAAATTTTACGCGGATCTGTGAGCACGTTGCACTACTATGTAATTGCACAGGGACAAGGATATCGAGCAGCAAACTGGCTTAAGCTCTGGCAAGTTCCAAAGGGTCTCCAGGTATCCTCTACCTTTCGAGCCGTGGCTCTCAATATCCTAGAGATGACGATGTGTCGCGCCTTTCAATCGCTTCCCGGGGACACTTTAGAGACCTACTATGGACCAATTGAGGATGGAAAACCTTACTCTAACTTAGGATTGAATATTATTCCTCCTGTTCTCCAAGGTCTTTCTCTTGGACCTTCAGTACGAAAGTCATTCTCTCTTGGTTTGGAGATATCCCCGGACAGCGACATAAAGGGGTGGTCCAAATTCCGTTACGATTACGGGAAAAAGGCCGAAAGGACTGAAATACACTTTCAGCGCCCGTTAATGCGGTCCTCGGAATTCCATACCCGTCTTCAAGATGCAACTCAGCATCTTCAGCTAAGCGAGTCCTTTTGTGGTGATAAGTCCCTGCCGCACTCAGCCCTAAACAAATCCGAGCTTGTTTCCCTGCTAAAAAGGGACCTGGGGCCAGCAGACTGCCCTTGGGTCTACCCGAATGGAAATTTTCAAGCGTTGGTTGGCTTTGTTCTGGAGGACTGCCTTGATGCAGAATCTACCAACTCGGGCGTCACGAAAATATCCATTCCGCGCCAATTTCAGGACAGTGGCTGGAACATAGCAAACTCTCTTACCTGGTCTGCAAACCCTTTACAAAGAGATTTGACCAAAATGACGCAACGTTTCCGGTCAACCCAGCAGCCAGAGATTACTTCTTTCATTCAGTTCAACCAAACTATCATTCAACACAGTGGATTACGGATGGTACTTATGTGTGGACGTTCAGTGCAAAATCTTGTTCTGCCCACAGGGTGTAAGGAGACACGCCTCAAGCTCGAAGCGGGAGAGATTCCTATGTTTCTCGACATCGAAGAGGGTGCTATCAAACGAATCTATGTTCTGATACCCAATCCAACTGATGCGTTTTTGCTACGGGATTGGCGAAAAACTCACAGAATATCTGAGATCCTTCATTTCACATCAGCTATTACGAAAACTGTCGGCATTCGCCCCTACGCTGGCGATAATGGATGTGTCCTGACAAAGGCCATCCGCGATCACATGGATGAGCAAAAAGGAATCGAGGGACTTCTAACAATTCAGACTCTCCATCCAATGACTCGTCTTTGGCTTACACGCAGAGGATTTGCGACAGATGAAGACATATCTCTTTTGCAAAAGCGAGCGGGTGGGAGTCTCGCTCACGCAATCCTTGTTTTACTCCATGTCCCCCCGCGTCACTTTCAAAAAGTCTCAACGATGTCCTCTGTGAGCTCATTTCATAGATCCGAGAAGAGAAATTTTCCAAGATTCAAGATTGATAAAGCGGAACTTGAAGCTGTTCGGGAGCTCTCTGACAAAATGGGTGGGAAGCACCCAGTTGATTCTGACCATCCTAGTGATAATGTAATCCAAGAGATCACACACAAGGAGGAAGAATTGGAAGCAGATGTCGGGAAAGTTGACGTTCTCGAAAGAGAAGACCTGGAAGCTTCTCGAATGCGTGTTGATGACCACGGAACCTTGGCTCTTGCAATTGAGACCGCTATCTTTCCATGGAAAAGGCGAAATGCTCGTCCTAGTGCTGGTGATCGAAGCTACACCATAGGAGATGAGACCCGAGAAGAACTCTTACGAGGCCGCAAATATCTCGGGAATAGGACTAGAAAACAGGGGTTTTTGGGGTTGACAATACATTCATGCATTGAGCTTCTCATTCGTACGGAAGAGCCCCAGCAGGAAGTCACCGTGAAAGCGGAGATCAGACCACCTGGCCAGCGACATCAAAATGTATGGGCTAAAGAAGCCCTCACGACGGATCCGGGGTCACGGTTGGCTTTCTGCATTACTTACAAAATGGGCATCGCGGAAACATCGTCCTATGTGACTTCAAACCTGGACAGGGACTTGTACAAGGCTAATTCATTCGTTCACTGGATGGAGGGTGAGGACGTCACGCAGATCGTTGCAAGGCCAAGGCAATTTGTCGTCGTGAGTTCATTGACCAAGACCCTTCCTCATGGCATCCCAGAGCCTGGCTCTTTCTACACCGACGATCACGCCACGTTGTTTCCTGCTAAGGAGTTCGAGCTGCTTAAGAAGCGCAAATTCGACCAAGCATGAAGGTTGTTTAAGTTTTGTGGGAGCACAACGTGGATGTGTGCGACGCGAAATGATCCTCAAATCGGACAGAGCTGTAAGGTTTGGACCTGCTAGGCGTCAGAGAACTACTGGGAGTAAGATCTTATCAGGCTCAATTCGCTCGATGCGATAATGACTATGTACGAATGAGAGATCAGTAGCGCTGTAAATTGTCTGTAGAGAATCTGAGACATCTGTAGCCTTGTAAAGAGACAGAGAGGGGATCGTCTCATAAAGCTATCATATATTGGAGTGCCCATCGCTGCATAATAGCATATCATGGAGCTAAATGCTGTATTGAGTAGCATTATTTATTTTACTATTTGTTATTAGTTGGAAAATTAATCTGCAAAATTGCAGAGTCAGACAAAGAAGCGAACGGTTGTGGGGGAGTATTCCTATCTGCTCTTCCAAATGAAATATTAATTATTCTTTCCATGCTTGCTTGGGCTTCGGCATTGTACGCTGACCTTGCATTATGGATTCCAGAGGTTTCAGAGTCATATAAGCAAAACTTGGGCACAAGTACATCAACTGCCCGGGTGGTCTAGTGGTATGATTCGCGCTTAGTACGTTATCCACGAATCAACCAATCATCACCCAACAATTCACTAACAGTTTCTTCAGGGGTTCACCCAAAGCATTGACTGCGCGAGGTCCCCGGTTCGATCCCGGGCTCGGGCCCATATTTCTTTTTTTAGCCATCAGATCTTCTCTTGCCTGAGTAATAAATCGGATTACATTTAACTAACTTACGTAGTTCTTGTATAGTTATCTTTAGTTATCTTTAGTTTTTTTCTTTCAATTTTTTTTTTTTTGGATTTATTAATTCTAGTCCCAAGCGAGTGTCAATGATCGCGACACTGTCAACCTACCCCGAGCAGCATGGCACCTTGAATGATTCCACCGATAGGCATAGAGGTTCCCTGGAACACTTTTAGCACAGCTTCGGCATCTGAAACATCAGCTGGAGCGCCAGAAACAGCAAATCCAAGAGCAGCACAGCTCTTCAACTAGCCTGAGAACGCTTATCAGCAATGCCACTCCGGGATAAAGCGATAATATACTTCGCTCCGTGAGCTGCCATATGAATCGCTAGACTGCCGCAAAGGCTTCGCAACCCTCCTACAATTAGATACGAGACTGACAGGTTAAGCTGAAATGACGGGGCCACAGGTCGCACTGGAACCTCAATCTTGTCGGCTTCGGTGCTAGAAATGACAATTTTCCCAATGTGCAGACCACTTCGCATGTATGCACAAGCAGCAGGTATATCCTTAAAGGGGAATGATTTGATGGGATGAACTGGATGGATATGGCCTCCATCATGGAGGGTAAAGATCTGATCCAAGAGACTACAGAGAGGTCAATAAGCGTTTGGCGTAAGGATGCATTAGAACTCACTTGGCAATCAGCACAGATGCGTCAGGACTCATCCAGTAGATCACCAGTCAAAGAATTGAGAATGACATCGATGCCCTTGCCATTGGTGGCTGATAGGATCTGTTAGGAAAATTGGATAGGGCGCGAGGAGAACATGCGTTGGTATAGAATGCCAAACCTTTCATGAAGGAACTTGCGCTTGTCCTCAGTACCGACGGTAAAATAGATCTCAGCCTCCCTGTGCTTGGCCAATTCAATACTTGAAATACCAATATCTCCCGCCGCAGAGTGTATCAAAACAATCAATAAGCTACTGCAGGAAGGGGCCACGTGCTTGGATTTGACGTTTTGTGAAGGAGGAGCTTAAGGCCACTCGACGTTTCTTGTGCACCGTATGGGCAGCTATTGAGACAGCTGCCAACGGGATGCCGAACCAATTTTCAAACACAGATAATTTATTGAATGGGGCAGACGGCGGATAAATGGTCTCATAGAAATCCGGGTCATCGATATGGAGTTCCCACGGGTTTCTCCGCACAATGGGGCCATATTGGGCATGCAGTTCCTTTATGTGCCTGGTAAAAATACCCCCTCCCACCGCCCTCCCACGATACCGTATCTCATAGTATGTCTCGTACCATTGCATCGCAGCCGCCAATTTGGGACCGGGGAAATGTCGCAGTGGACTTAGATATAGCCGATAGACACCCAGACTCAATAGATCAAGTCCGCCAGCGAGACATCAGTATTGCGCTTTCTAATGGATTGGTCTTACAAAGATTCTAGGATAATGGTGCATTTTACCTATCTTAGGTAGCCGTTCATCCAAACCTGGAGTAGATTTTGAAACTTTTGTTCTATCCCCTTTGCCGAGGTCGCGCTAGCGTAACGAAGGTTCATCCATCCCGATTTAAGTAATTAAGCAATTGCGTGCTTATCTTGCAGATGACAATGCAGTTGTGCCATATCAGCCACCCGCACTAGAATCACTTAGTTGAATTAGGCCGTGATTTCAAGATACTAGAGATTACCAATGCTCGTAAATCATATTAGTTAAGCGCTCTTAGGAGCTGACAATTGCAATATCCAAACAAATAAAATTCCAAGATCACGTCAATGAAGTGGATTACCCCCCACCACCCAAATTATTTAAGAAGGTGACCATTTGTAAGATTAAGGGAAAACATCTCTTTGAGCAAATTCAATACACTCTAGGCTATTCTCGCTGAGGCAGGAGCGCAAAGCACCACCGGTATTATGTCTACTATCTTGATTTCCGGTGCCAACAAAGGTAAGCCAAATTCACGTGTTCACTAACTGTCGTACGTTAAGTGTGTGGGTCCTGTTAGGAATTGGCCGCGGCCTTGTCGCCAAGTATCTGGCTCGCAATAATGTGACTGTGATCGCAGCCGTCCGTAACCCAAGCTCATCGGAGGCTACCTCCCTCACTCACCTTTCCACGGGAAAGAGTAGTCGGTTGATTATTGTCAAAATCGACGCCACCTCCGACACCGACGCCCAAGCTGCAGTAGAGTTATTGTCTAGCCAGGGCGTGTCGACTCTAGACATTGTTATCGCCAATGCAGGAATCTTCGACAGAGCCGCTTTCACCACCGTTGCCGATTCCACTATTGCGCAGATCCAGTCCCACCTAGAGGTGAACACTGTCGGACCTGTACGCCTCTTCCATGCTACCCTCCCACTCCTTGAGAAGTCGTCCTCTGCTCGCTTCACCCTAATCAGCAGTGCTGTGGGATCGATTGGGAACATTAAAGATATCCCGATCAAAATTGCGCCATACGGTGCGAGCAAGGCTGCGGCGAACTTCTTCGTCCGGAAAATCAACTTTGAACATGATAATATTGCGACCTTGGCAATCCATCCTGGGTATGGATCTACCTTCTAACTCTTTCTCTGAGATCTGGCATTAACTACTACGTCGGTATAGGGCCGTCAAGACAGATGCTGGAAATGACGCTGCCCGAGTTTTTGGCCACCCCAGCGCTTTCGTTGAAGTTGAGGACAGCGTGAATGCGATTATTGCCAAAATCGATGCATTGACGAAGGAGAATGGAGCGGGAGAGTTCTGGGGCTTCGACGACACCACCATCGGCTGGTAAAGACTAGATATTCGAGATAGACAGAGTCATACAGGAACACTCACATGGCCGAGAATATGAAATGAAAGATAGGAAAGTGAACAGATAATTGTTTCTTTCATTCCGATTATATGCTCCCGACTACGTCTCTCCAATCTTACGATGGTACAGTGATGCATTCACCATGAAACTCTATGCCTCTTCAATACACTATAAAGCAAGCTACTTTCTCCGATATTTGCAGAGTATATGGGACTGAATTTGTGTACATAGGCTGGGGAGCGAAGCCAATGGGCTTCATCGTCTAGAATATATGAATACCACACATTTAAATCGCCTATGTGAGGCCAATTGTCCTCCGTAAGTTACAATCATTACTTTTGTCAGGAGACCCCACATAATCTTCCTTCTGTTTCTGCCCACTGATCAGCTCCGACACCTAGCGGAGCATAGAAGACGCCCTCAGGTTCCCAAGTTCGCTGAATACTGCCGAGACGGTCCCAATGGCCCTTGAAGAATGCTTTTCTGGCGGTAATTGGCCTCATGCGGTAAGTGCCACTACCAGGAGTCAATTCTTCGAGTATAGGGATGATATCATTTGTGAGGCGATCGGCCCAGGCATCCATCTCCGTCGGAGAGCTCCGGTCCCATGTCGAATAGACGAGGAAGTGCGCAATGGCATTCTTGAATTGGATCTCTCGCGAAGTCATGCTGCACTTTGGATGGGTCGGAAAACAAATCGGTTAATCGCACAAAGACTGGAAAAAAAGATTTAATTAGGCTCAAGTCTCAGTCAAAGAACAGAAGTTTGCAAAGGTTGAAATTCAGGTCTACGCGAGATTTTTGTATGCCAATTGTTCATTAAACGTCTATATAGACTGGCTTTTTCGTTTAATTGCTGACGATGTGCAAGTATGTAAGAAGGATTCGCTAGCATCGGCTCGCGAGCCTTGCGCGCCTTCGATACGATAGCTATTGCGATTTCATCAACATCTTCTGCTCTAATAGATGCTGGACCGACACCATTTCTTCTGAATGATCTTGATTTCGGGAATCTTCCTGGGGCGCAAGGTACAACTTCACACGCTGGATTCTCACTCAATGTCGGAAAGCGAAACAGCTGCATTGATTCAGTCCCTACAGAAGATATGATTAACCCAGAAAAAGTGCCTACGGATATGAATTGGCCAATCAGTACTCTTCCGAATCCGGAGGAGCTGCCACAGCACTATCCTTGGACGCCACCCGACTTACCAACCTCGATGCACAACGAGCAAATGACTCAGCTTCCAGGCCGATCAAACATATAGCCAGCACTGTGCTATACCATTACTCCGCTACAATCTCTCCCATATCAATTCGCGAGCTTCTGCAAGCGGCAGTGAGCGTTAATGAGAGCGACAGCGCGGGCCGAACGGCACTTCATATAGCCGTTCACTGGAAGCAAGAAGGCATATAAAAATCCTCCTGGAACATGGGCCCGACGTCAACACAGTAGATTCAATGGGCTGGACCACCGTTTATCATGCAGTTCAAATTGGCTTCACATCAGGACTGAAGCTTCTATTAGGGCACGGGGGCGATTTGGCTCTCCGGGCCCCGAAAAGATCACCATGATTTAGGCTAGGGCTATAGTTTGAAAAATAAGTGTCCAAGAATGAATTTTACTGATGGTCATTTGATATCGACAGCAGCCCAGAACAAATAGAAGGTGTTTAGTTTAAAGAACATGGACCGGAAAGCACGATCGGGGTTAGGGCTGATGGGTCACGTGGGTATCGGAGATCTCTGATGTTTCAAGCCACAAAAAAAGATTCAGTGAAGAACCGTATATTTCAGATAGAAAGGAAACAAAAAAGTAGGCCCGAGCCCGGGATCGAACCGGGGACCTCGCGCAGTCAATGCTTTGGGTGAACCCCTGGAGGAATTGTTAGTAAATTGTAAATGGTGATTATAAGATTCTAAGGTTGAACATACTAAGCGCGAATCATACCACTAGACCACCCGGGCTGTTGATGTTTTGGATTTTCTACTTTGCCTATATAAAGCAGATCGGGCTCTCCACGAGGATCTAGTCCATGTACTCGACCACACATATATATAAAACATACATTATCGAAACTCATGTCTTATTAGCGAGACGGAAGAAGATATTTGGGTCAGGAATAATGAGGAAGTAAAGCAAAAAGGCAAAAAAAGAATAGGCCCGAGCCCGGGATCGAACCGGGGACCTCGCGCAGTCAATGCTTTGGGTGAACCCCTGAAGTAACTGTTAGTGATTTGTTGGGTGATGATTGGTTGATGAAGGATAACATACTAAGCGCGAATCATACCACTAGACCACCCGGGCGGTTGATGTTGAAAGGTTCAGAACTTGCCTACATGAATTCATTACCGCTTTCCACCAGGCTGGAATGTATCTTCGATCATAAGGACATGAATATAGTCCGTCCACTGACGTTTAAAGTAATAAAAACCCCCAAATTACACCGTCTGGCTTTGGCCCTGCCGGCATAACAATCGTGGCTATCCCAAGCATTTCACAGACCTTCCCTTTTTGAATGGCTTCAGTATGCACTCGAGTGCACGATGTAGTTAAGCAAGTTAATATTCAGAAGTATTATCAACATTTCAATCAATTCAATTGTTCATTAGAACGTATGTTTCCATGACTCATTACACATAACTAGGAGATAACATGATCATAAAGTTACAATTTAAATGCGCTGGGATCCACCAACAGTCTTGGATCCGTCAAGGTCCGAGTCCACACGAGGATCAAGCTTGTTAGCCAAATCACTCTTGTGAGGACCAGCAGTCTTCTTATGCTCAAGGCCACTGCCAGAAGTGTTGTAGCTGCTACCCGCACCGGCAGCGCCAGTGTGCTGAGCCTCCTCGAAAGTCTTGGTAGAGGTAGGACCGGCATTGCCAGAGATGGGGATCACACCGGCACCGCCAATGCTGCCCTTGTGCACATCCTTGTCAAAGCGGCCGCTGTGCTCCTTGCTGAGGTCGCTGTCCACGCGGGGGTCGGCCTTGTTGGCGAGGTTGTTCTCGTGGGGGCCGGCGGTCGAGCTGGCAGGACCGGTGGCGGTCGAGTGGGTGGTATGCTGAGAGTGATCTCCGATGGTGCCGTGGTGGCCGGTCAGGCCGGTGGTGCCAGTTGCGCCAGTACCGGTAGCAAGGCCAGTAGAAGTGGAGTGAGAGCCGAGGCCGGTAGAGCCAATACCAGTGGAAGTGTTGTGAGAGCTTAAGCCAGAAGAGGTGGTGCCATAAGCAGCACTGTTATCACGGTCACTGTCCACACGGGGATCGACCTTGTTGGCAATGTTGCTGTCGTGGGGACCGTGGTTGGAGGAGCGGTTGGACTCGTGGTGGCCGTAAGCACCTGCAGCAGCGCCGGCAGCAGCACCAGCACCAACACCTAGGCCGGTAGAGTGGCCGGTAGACTGGTGGTGGGAGCCGTGGGTGCCCAAGTTGCTACGGTCACTGTCGACGCGAGGGTCGGCGGCATTGGCAATGTTGCTGCCATGAGGGCCATGGTTAGAAGAGCGAGTAGACTCATAGGTGTTAGCACCGGTGCCAGTAGCGAGGCCGGAACCAACTCCGGTAGAAGTGTTGTGGGAGGCTAGGCCAGTAGAGCCGACACCGGTGGAAGTGCTGTGAGAGCCGAGGCCGGTAGAGGTGGTGCCATAAGCAGCACGGCTATCGCGGTCACTATCGACACGAGGGTCGACCTTGTTGGCCACATTGCTGTCATGGGGACCGTGGTTGGAAGAGCGAGCAGATTCGTAGGTGTTGGCGCCAGCGCCGGTAGCCAGAGGCTGAGTGGAGGAGTGGCCAGTGGTAGCGGTGCTGTGAGTGTTCAAGTTGCTACGGTCACTGTCGATGCGAGGGTCGGCGGTGTTGGCAATGTTGCTGTCATGAGGGCCATGGTTGGAGGACTTGGTAGAGTCGTGATGCTTGTCACCGTGGTCGGTGAGAGCGTCCTTGACCTTATGGATGATGTTCGACATGATGGATAGATAGAAAGATGTATTGATGGAAGATGGGTATAAAATGAGGAGAATGAGTTGGTTTATGAAGAAGTTGTAGTGATTTGAATTGTTTGATTGATAGTGAAAACCAGAAGTTGACAGCGACAAACGAAGGTATATATATAAGACTTTGAAAGCTCATGACGCTATCAAGCCCCCGAATCATGATAAGAGGGATGACGTTGTATCATACAAGGATCTGGGTTGCTCCCATCAAGAAACGGCGCTTTGTTGATCCGTTGATCGTCGAATTGTGGGGAAGGGGCATCTCGTGGCAAGGAACCGGGCCCGCGATGTCATCGCGTAACGTCATACCCGAGCGCCACTTACTATACTACTTCGACAACTGATCACCATCAGCCCTATACCTTATGCACGAAACGGGGAAGAGCAAAGAAAAGCGATTGAATATTCTAGTTAATTCTAGTCCGATCGTAGAGATTGCAAGTTCTAGACTGTATGGCCAAAGTATTTGCTTTCCATGCTCTCCCGCGTCATCTACAAAGTACATCAATCCAGCTGAAACCAGCGTACCAAGGGTCTCACGAAGACCGTCGATCATGAACCAACAGACCAGAGCGATGACGAGATCAAGAAACTACGCCATAGTACTTCTACTAAAATTAGATAATAATACTGAAAAGTGACAGCTGTGCTATTTTGTACTACCCCACTAGTTGAGGATTAGATCATAAGCAGGCCAAAACCGGACCTTTCCGCCACAGTTGAGCTGCTGCGATTCGTTTTCGAGCGAACCTCCCAAAACCGGAATCTAGCCTTTAACCCTGAGCTCGAATCGTAATCTCATAGATCTACAGCTTGGCGACCGTAAATAATGTGCTACCCTGCAGCTTTGTCCCCAATTGTGTAATTTGCTTCCATCTTCTGGGTTCGGGACTGCCCGACGCCATGTCTCCCATGGAGTGTACACCATTGGGAACTGGGAAATATGCTGCAAGGAGCTAGGCTGCCATGTTTTTAGCATCTCACCGGGCACGAAGGCGTTTTGTAAAACACTTCCAGAGGATAGGAAATTGCGCAATTTTGAAATGCGAGCTCTAGAACCATGGATGGCACGTATTTCTCAAACATGTTCGCCCGATGATGAAGCCTTGCATTCGACAGGTCGGTCGATTTTCGGTGAATGGCCGGTAATCTATGACCGCAATGCTCGAAGCGGTTCACCCATAAATTTAAAATGGCGTAAGGCAGAACGTGCGTATACATGGTTCAGTTGTGCAATTTTGCATCATCTACCCGATATACACATCATGATATCAATGCGGTTCAGACGAACGAATTATCTGCTCTGATATTCCAAACATTACCGGAACAATACTACATCTCCAATGCTGTACAAGGGGCGCCCGGTCTCTCGTATGTTTTGCACATCACCCGAAGCTAGAGATGACGAGCACAGCTATGTAAGATCTGGTTCTGGCATGCATTGAGAGCTAGGTGGAGCGCTTGTCGGGGCACAGTCAGCTCCCAAAAGTGAGTGGTCGATGTGGAAGACAGAACAGAAAGCGTGCTTGCTTTTGCTGGTGCGTCAGTCCTTGATGACTCTATATTCTTTCCTGATGCTATATGAGATATGTTCCTGCAACTCTTGCTTTTCTTCTTGAGGTTTGGGTAAACCCAGAAGTGTTGAGCCTCTGCAAGATTCGTTGGGGAGAGGTGGCGCAAGATAAGAATCGAGATCTCACAAAAGAAGCTCGTAACAATGGTTGGGCAGATCGACAGTCTGATCCATGTATAGTTGCTGCACAAAACAGCTAGATTGGAATAAAATTACTGATTATCACCAGTCAAAATAGCAGTTGTGTCAAATTATCGCTCTGGTCCTGACGCTGCCGCTATTAACACCCGTGTTTCCTATCAATATATATAATATATATATACACCCACCATCTCTCTATTTGTAAACTATGGAGTAGCTCAAAGGCGCTTGTCTCAGTCGAGGCGTCCGGTTCTTGCTTACCGGTCAACCACATGGAGTGTTCGCCTTGTACTGCACCCATTCCTCCATCAACGCTCGGGGACCCTGCCAGGTCGTCTGTTTACCGCTTTCATTGGCTTATTCCATACCTACTTTTGAAAAGATGACTGGGATTGACTGAGAAAATCGACTCCAGATTAGGTTGCCAGATTCACTCGCTCGCAGCCGATCCACACCGAAGACCCACAGAAGCTTATCTCCATCACATCAGGTACGGAGAGCGGGCATACCAAGGAGAAGCATTTCTGGAAGCCTTGTGGATCTACACTGTGGACTGCTCCATCAAAGCAGAAAAGGAATGTTGTCCAAGTTTCTTGAATTTTGCTAAAGATGTTCCAATCTGACTACGTTGGCACCAAGCGCCGATGTATCTTCAACAAATAAGCCAGAATATCTCGGGATGCTCGGATGTACCAAAGGTTTCTGGGATGCCAAATATCTAATGATAGGGCTTCTATTGGGTTGTTTTGTGGATGGAATCTCCTCAATTGAATCTACCATTCCGAATACTTGGTCCCTTCAATGAAGTAATAGATGATGGAACCTACTCTTTGACGAGTTCTCGCCAGTCCTTGCTCCAGCTTCTTAACGTGATTCAGGTCTTTCGAGATTACTGCTGCGGATCCTCTGAATCATGTGTTTGAAAAGATCCGTCAGAAGTAGTAGCTTCACAAAGTGAATGACCAATGGATATTCTCAAATGCTCGTATGATTCGTGGTATCAAATAAAATTCTAGTTCCAAACGCCGTTCCGTCAAGTTCACCCTAGCCTCATGCAAAAGCGCTATAAAGAAAAAGATATCGTAATGAAAACCCAAGAGAAACTTCAGCCAACCATCTCTTCGGGAAGAACGTCATCTGGGTTTTCCCCGACCGCCTCACCAACAGCACGGACGACACGCTTGATAGCCTTCGAAGCAGGGCTATCTGGGAAGTTATCCACGAAGCTCTCTCCGTAGTCGCAAGCCATACCCACCCTAGGATCCAGGGGTACAGCACCGAGGAAGGGGATTCCCATCTTCTTGGCTAGTCGCCTGCCACCACCCGTGGTCTTGCGGAAGATCTGCGACTCGTGTGTACAGCTGGGACAAACAAACCCAGACATGTTCTCCACCAAGCCAAGGATCTTGATACCAGCCTTGCGGCAGAAATCAATTTCCTTGCGAACATCAAGCAGAGATACCTCCTGCGGGGTGGTCACAACCACCGCACCATCGACGCCAGATTCTTTCAACAGGGAGTTGACGGACAAGTGCTCATCAGAAGTACCAGGCGGGGTATCGACGATCAGGTAGTCGAGCTCGCCCCAGTCCACGTCCTTCAAGAATTGCTTGATCAAGCCGTTCTTCTTCGGACCACGCCAGATAACCGCATCGTCACGGTTGGGTAGCATGAATTGAACACTCATCGCGCCCAGATTATCCGTCACCCACACTGGACTCCAGCCGGCGTTGCTCACGTGGATCGTCTCCGTCTCCACTCCCATCATTTTGGGGATGGAAGGCCCGCAGATATCGGTATCCATGACGCCGACGGTCGAGTCGGGGTTCGCCGCAAACGCGTGTGCCAAAAGGGTAGTGAATGTCGACTTGCCCACGCCTCCCTTGCCAGACAAAACCAGGATCTTGTGTCGAATTTGCGAGAGACGCTCGGTTATAATCGGGATATCAGGGTCGGGGCCTTTCGGCGCGGAGGCGCAGATTTGTTGGTTTGGACAGCCAGCACAAGCATCGCCTTGGCCGGCTTGTTCGGATTCAGGGCCGGGACAGTGCTCTAAGATGAATGTTAGACAGATTTTTACAACAGACTTTGTTCATACGATCATGTACGTACCTGGCTCTGGTGCCACCAGATTTGTGGGCGCTCGTTTGGTATGAGCAAAGAGGGAGGCCTCCACGGCCGATTCCTCGACGAAAGGGGCCATCACTAATTAAAGCGTGAGGGTTTTGAGAAAGTGCCCGAGTAGTGTAAAACTCCCCGGTGAAAGATCATCAAGAAGTTAATCGAATGGTGGCGGAGATGGTGCTTGATAAGCGGGGATGACTAAATTGGAGACGCCGACACCGGGATTGGCTGGGCGGGGTACTTGGATCCACGTGATCTACATGATGCCCCTCTTTGTCTTGTTCCATAGTTTCGAATTGCTCATGTTAGTTACCTTTAGGTCTGAGTAAGTGGCCCAAGATCAGTTGTCCATTTCAAATTGGATTACTTGGAACCAAGCACAGTTGTCACATGGGATACTCAATATGAGACCAGTCATCATATTGTCGACATCAATCACGCATGCTTGGTTGGAAAATAGTATTGAGATCGCTATAATGAAGCCTGTTTAAGATATCGAGAGTGGTCTCTAGGGGACTTGTACATGCGTTTTGAATCACTCTGGCCGCTTCGAATCATTTTCTCGTACCTCCATCTACCTGAATGCTAACGTCTATCCTTTGACGATTCAGGCTGGAACATTCTGCGAGTAGGATATATAGCAAATTCCAGAAAATGACGAAATGCTATGAGATCTACGGAGCTATTCAGCAAAAGCTCTCTACCAAGCAGAGATCCTTCATGGATATCACGGTTTCTACCTGACTTGGCTCGGCTGAATGGCCATGCCGCAGGTACCATCTTCTTTTTTAAAGACCCTGGCCCTGTCAGAACTTAAGCCACGGTCGGAATCTTGATTTTGCGCGCCCCCTCATGCAAGATGATCATCGTGCACGTGTCCTAGCCAGTCCCAGTCGATTCGAGTGCTGCACTGATGCACTAACTTATGCAGTCGGGAGGTCAGACGAAAAGCGGGGGTTCATGCTTGCCTGTCGTCCTGCCAATGATGATATGACTGGCTTATAGGGGATGAGCAGAGGGCGTGGTGCAGGAATTCAATAGCGGCACTAAATATTCGAATCATAGCAGGGTCCAATGACAATCTTGCTTGCGCATTGACAATTGCCAATGTAGGTACATATGCAGGCGAGTGGAGGTTGATATACTCGTGGAGGCTGTGGGTGTCCTGGCAAGGATGAAGGTTCGCAAGAGTTATCTAGCAGGAGATGCCCGGAATTACTTGACGTGGACGCTGTGTCTTGTCTCTTCATTGCTGAGGTCTAGGAACAGAGTCCGGTGGATGCCGTCGACCCGCTCCGCGGGCAGTTCTCGCGCGTATCATCCGCCAGGTGGTTTTGATTGTGTGAGATATATCGTAAACAAGTCTCCTTCAAAATGCAGGCCTCGCATTCTCTCGAGTCTCTCGTCGTTGTGACTGGTGAGGCGCCCATTGCATAGCAACCCATGGAAGTATTTAATTAATGTAAGTCCCTTCCTGCAGGATACGTGATGCATGAGATGGTCTAGTATCCGCAGTTGCCGCTGGACCTCTCCCCGCGACAGACCCCGCTAAATGAGAGGAAGACGGGAGAAGAGGGCTACCATGTGTAATCCATCGCAGCTGCACGAGCCAGCCGGGACACGTCGAATTGGCCTGCAGTATAAACCCCGAAACCTTGACGACACCACAACTGCATGGTGTCGCGAGGCATTTGGCGCCAGAGGTGTGAAGAGCGAACCAGGGTCGGCTAGTGTCCTGGGGCGTGATCGGGTTCCGTTTCTTTCCCTTTCTGCTCCGTTCGGGGGCCCGCACTAACTCTCGTGGGCTGCTCCTATGAGATGGAGAGTTAACGTTGGCGTCGAGTTCCACACCAACAGGCCAGATTTTCCCGCATAAATTTGACCGCCCGTCTTTCTTTTTCTTTTCTTTCTCTTTCTCGCACGAATCTCTTCCAGAGACTCACCTGGCTAACCTCCGTAGAAATCAGGTGTGTGTTGTGACAGGGTAGGCATTGCCGACCCAACTTAGTGGGAAAAGTGGATGCAAACAGAGCAATCCATTGCGACATTGTCACATGCTTCTGTCGTCACAGGTTCACCTCCCAACATTTTCACTTCTTTCCTCAACAACATCATGGACCAGGGCCGTTCAACAGGTGCCCAGCAGCCCGAAGGGCTGCGCGAAAGAAATGTCCTACGCCCTGATTCAACTGGGGGCCGCGATGCTCTAACTGCGACCGGCGAGCTGGAGGCCAAGAATGAGTTCGGCAAGGATAAGAAGACTTTTGGTCGCACTCCAGATGGAACGGGTAGGTGTTCTATTCAGCTTCCAATTGAGTACTACCCAGTACCTCCAAGGCTTTGTATCGCGATGGGTTAGCGATGCTTGACAATCCCTCGAGGCCTGGAAGGATATCCCCCATCAACGACCCTGCCGCCGTTGTGGATCTACCCCCGCTAACTTGGAATCCGTCGCGTTCTTAGTGTTCACGGTGCCCCAGACCCATGACATGGTCTCTCAGCTCTTGTCGCCTTCTGAGCCTAAGAATGTGGGCGATTTGGTGGTGATAGCGCTACTGGCCATCCATATTCTACTCCTCTGGTCTCTGCCCGCCAGCGCGAAAATTCCCGTTTTCGCGTTCATTTACCTATTCTGGCGGGCGGCGTACAATGGAGGAATCGGATGGCTGCTCCACAACCAGTCGCATCACAAGACGCTGATCCGATGGGCAGAGAAGACAAAGGTGTTTGTCAACCCGGCCACGGGTCGGAACCCTCACCCCGCTCTGTACAATTGGATCAAGAAAGAGCTCGAGACCAAAATCCCCGAGGACTACTCTTTCGACAATGCACCCCTTGAATACAATACTTGGCTTGTCTTTAGACGTCTAGTGGACTTGATCCTGATGTGTGATTTCACTTCTTACTGCCTCTTTGCAATTGCCTGCGGCCACCGTCCCGTGGACGAGAGTATCATCATGACCATTCTCCGGTGGACAGCGGGCATTGTGCTCGTCTTGTTTAATCTTTGGGTCAAACTAGATGCGCACCGAGTAGTCAAGGACTATGCCTGGTACTGGGGTGACTTTTTCTACCTTATCGATCAAGAACTCACCTTTGACGGCGTGTTCGAGATGGCTCCTCACCCCATGTACTCGGTCGGTTATGCGGGATACTACGGAATCTCTCTGATGGCAGCCAGTTATAAAGTCCTGTTCATCTCAATTATTGCCCATGCAGCTCAATTCGCTTTCCTCGTTCTCGTCGAGAATCCACACATCGACAAAACCTACAATGCGCCACCACCCAGAAAGCGATTAGTGTGTGTTGATTCAACCCCCAGCCTTCCCTTGGATTCGGACACTTCGAGAGCGCCTACTCCGTCTGACGATACGGCTCCCAATGCGACATCCTCGTACTCGGCCAAAGCTCCTCCTTCGGTTCATAACCTACTGGGACTGAACAACTTGGATCTCTATAGAACCACTGACTCGTCGATCATGCTTGTCCAGCTGCTCGTGTTTGCAGTCACCGCCTTGACACCATCTACACTGAAGTATCAACTTCTTTTCGTGGCTAATGCCGTTGTGTGGCGGCTGTGGTACTCCGTAGGCATTGGGTACCTGCTCAACAAACAGTCTCGCAATAAAGCCTGGACCCGGCACTTCCTCAAATTTGGTGAAACCCCGCAAGAGGCCTGGAACCAATGGAAGGGAACTTACCACCTCAGTATGATTATGTGCTACGCTAGCTTCATTGCTGCTGCGTGGAAAATGTACACGTTCCCGACCGACTGGAACTATGGTCTCGTCCTGTTCCGCCACGTTCTTGGTGCTGGCTTGATTAGCTTGCAGATCTGGACCTCGGTCAGCATCTACGATTCGCTGGGTGAATTCGGCTGGTTCTATGGTGATTTCTTCTTTGACGAGTCGCCCAAACTGACCTACGATGGAATCTACCGCTTCCTCAACAACCCCGAGCGAGTGCTGGGCCTTGCCGGTGTCTGGGGTGCCGTTCTCATCACGAGTAGCGCCACAATTACCTTTGTGGCCTTGTTGAGCCACGTCCTGAGCTTGTCTTTCATCCAGTTTGTGGAGCGCCCTCATATGCAAAAGCTGTACGGCCGTAGCCTTCGTCAGGATGGTGGTGTTGTCAAGAACCTTAAGAAGTCTCTGCCGCCTTCTCTCAAGCAGCTTCACGGAAGTGTCGATAAGATGTTCGACGACTCGTTCGAGTTCATCGAGGATCTCCTTGACAATGCTCGCCCGAAGCTTGCAGCTGGCGTCAACACTTTTGTCAAAGATACCACCGCTTTGTTCCAAAAGTATCCCGCTCGCATTACCATCTCCCGCATTGACGCCGATCTGGCTGGCTTTGACGTCTCCGACTACTCCCTCTCAGTTGAAGGTACCGATGCCAAATCTCTCGACGAGAGCGAGCAGGGCAAGGGTCGCGAGGGCGCTAACGCGCGTATGCCGCTGGATCGCCGAGGTGATCTCAAGAACCTGACATTTGAATACGGTGCCCCGATTAAGGTCAGGTGGACTGCACCTCTCAACCATAGCAAGAAGGACTGGGTCGGTCTTTACCGAGTCACTGACAATACCTCGCGAGAGGTAACCCGCGTGTCCTCCCAAGGCCGGTGGGTTGCCACCAACGAGGGCTTCTATGACAACACAACAAATGAGAAGGGCATTGTTACCAGCGATGTGGTTATCCGCTCAGCCGAGCAGAACGGTCGTGAGGGCCACGACGTTGCCGCGGGTGAGATCATCTTTTCTGGTGACAAGCTCTTCTGGACGCAGGGCACCTTCGAGCTTCGCTACCACCATAACGGGTCACACAATGTCATGGCCATCTCCAGACCGTTCGAGATCCGCATCCGCCGTTTTGCCGAGGATGAAGTACTCGTTGACAGCGATGGCATCGTGCAGACTGCCGTGGAGAACGCTCTGTTGCCGGTTGTCCGCAATTGCTTTGACCGCGATCCCGAGATTGCGCCGGAGACTGTCGAGGAACAGTTTGGCAGTCTGGTTGAGCGGGATGGCAAGTTTGCGAAGCGAGTTGTTTTCGCCGTCCACCAGATGTAAGTCTTTGTGTTCACGGCCCAGCCCATCTTCATAACTAATCACGGTTACAGGTTCGGCGTTGAGTTGGCGCCCGAGGTAGTCAAGGCCGATGGCAATGTTTTTAATCTTGCCTGGAGAATTTGTAATGCCAAAAAGGTCCTTGTAAGTGAAGTGGTCTTTGCCTCTCGTATGGAGAGTATATTGGCCTAACATATCCATACAGGCTCCCTACAGCATGTCCCGATCGAATGGCACCACAACGCCAATCGAGGGCAAAGAATAGAAACGGAGCGCCGGATCTGCAATTATGTCGAGACTCACACAAGAGTGTCGGATATGGCGAAGCAAGAGAGGTTTTGGCGTTCAGTCTATTGTTGAGATCACCAGCAGGTTCCGATTGACTTGCAATAACAATTACAATAACAATAACAACGTCAAATATCATATAACTCGGCAACTCCAAGTGATCAGCGAAGAAAGAAAGGACAAAAAGAGGGTGGCATGGCTTTGTTGCTTCATGACGAGTCTCTGGGTTGGTTTAGATGGTGGCTGGTGTACAATTCCCGTTTCACTTTGACAAGTCGTCCTGCCTAAGAATCAGAGCGGGCTGAACAAGCTTGGTGGTGAATGGGCAGTTATTTTTGCTTCTTGACAATGTTTTCTATTTTTTTTGCTACTTTGTATAGCTTCAGTTACAATTAATTGCTAGCTCATCATGATACTACGAGGGTCATGGGGAAAATGATCAAAGAGAATGTTTATAATATTTTCAGAAGTATTCGAAAAATTTTACAGGATATGGACCTAGACTTGGCAATCGTCAGCATGATTCAAGACATCATCGACAACGTAAAAGGCATGTATAGCTCCATATTGCAAGCAAGGCAAATAATCAGTCAAGCCAGTTTAACTCATCCCATCCTCTGCCGTCCTCGCGAACCAGACCGTCATCCAAGACGGACAAGCAGCCCAACCCGAAAGAGCCGACACAAGTCAAGCGTGGCAGAGCCACAATGTAAACAGCAGAACCAGACGCCGACTGAGCCTACGCCTGCCGGTGCTCCACAACCTTCCTCCCTGATGCGCCCGTGAGGGTACAAGAGGTCCAGTATTTGGGAGTCGGAGAACGCAGATCGACGCCTTGGCCCGAAGGCACCGCTGTCACAGAGTAGGTGCGTACTCGAGAGGCGGTTCTCAAAAGAGATCGTTGAATGGATTGACTGGGTGTCATCATAAAAAGGAGAGGGGAGTGGTTCGGGAGGGTTCAAGAGGAAAGGGAAGGAAGCGCATACATTTTACAATTGCAAGACGTTGCAACTTTGAATCTTGATTGACTGAAAACCCTTTGAAATTGTCAGCTTGATGTTCATCGACAGCAAGGATGTGAAAAAGACAATGACATGATTGGAGCAGCATCAGGTGTTTTTGGTAAGGTATTTTGTTATCTTCAAAAATTTTGCAGAAGCAGAACTGAAAATGTTTTTTCATCATGCTAGGGGTTGAGTGGGGAAAAAAAGCAGAAAAAATTCAAGCTTACCTGTTGGGAAGTTCCAATGCAGCCGACATGCTGTGGTTGCTGGTCAGTGTTGGAAAAGCCCTGCTTGAATCAATGTTAGCTTATATGCCAAAGCCAACGAGATTGATGTAAAAATCCTTGTTTGGAAAGTTGTCGATCAGATGGTGATGCATGTTTGTTCATGGCCCATTTATTTGTCACCGGAACAGAATTTGGGTAGTTTTCAATCATGAAGACGGGGAGGTGAAGGGGGCTGCATTGAAGCAATGAATAGCAGGTGGTACTCACAGGAAGTTAGTGAAAGATGAAAAGTATCGAGAGAAATCCCAAATCATCCTGGGCAAAGCCGCTTCATCATGAGAAGGGCAGGTTACCCAGGACAAAACAACTCTGGGAGGAGTGTGGAAGGAAGAGAAATCGAGGAGCGAAGAAAAAAGCTGAAAAGCTAGCCGGAGCGGGTGGGGTCCCAGGCAAACAGCGCAAACACGCAGGATTTCCGCTTCTGGGCACTTTGGCATCTCCATCTCCGATAGTTTAGTTACCTACAAACTTCCAACGCCAAACGTTCAAGATGATGGCCGATAGGAGAAGGATCAATGGGCCCCCTGGTGGCACAAGACCAGCAGTATTTGCCTCAAGCCTACAATCTGGCACGAGTGCCACAGATCGCGCTCAGCGCCAGCGACAACCTTCCGAGCTACGGAAAATCTGTATGTCGCTACGGCCCCGTTTCCTTGCAATTGGTGGTGACTTCAGCTAACAGCAGTGCAAAAGTCCTCAAAACTGGTCTGATCCCCACGGCCTCGGGCTCTTCATACCTCGAATTCGAACCGTCAGCCTCTCTCGCCGCTGCTCGCGCTAATCCCAAGTCTCTGATACCGCCTTCGTCAGCCTTGAAGCTGGCCTGCACAGTCCATGGGCCAAAGCCTCTTCCCCGATCTGCAGCATTCTCTCCGAACCTTGTTCTTACAACTCATGTCAAATACGCGCCTTTTGCCGCACGTCAGCGCAAGGGCCACATCCGCGACTCCAGCGAGCGTGATCTCGGAGTACACCTAGAAACCGCTCTACGGGGCGCAATCATTGCTGAGCGCTGGCCGAAGAGTGGTATTGATATTACAATCACAATTCTCGAAGCCGAGGACGACCGGTGGTGGGGAGATGCGCCAGACTCGCACGATGCCTCCTGGGGTATGATGAACGTTCTCGCTGGATGTATCACTGCTGCTTCGGCCGCAATTGCCGATGCTCACATCGACTGTCTCGACCTAGTGGCTGGCGGTGTCGCCGCTATCGTTTCGGACGAATCTACTGAGACTTCAGTAGGAGCCCCCAAGCTCATGCTGGACACGGATCCCGCCGAGCATCGTTCTATTCTATCTGCATGTGTTGTGGCATATATGCCTGCCCGAGACGAGATCACATCACTGTGGCTCAAGGGTGACAGCTCCAAAGTCTCCCTTGAGGATGGTGATACTCGGACAGGCCATGAAGCGTTTATTGACGGTGCTGTGGATGCTGCTCGAGGAGCCCATACCGTCCTCGCGGAGGCTGTACGGGAGTCTCTGCTTAGAACAGTGGGCCAAGCTTAAAATAACCGTACCAAATTTAATGAAGAAATAATGAAGACCTCCAATTAGAAAACCGGTCACGTGTCCACGTAAGCCCTCAAATAGTGGCATCTATACTTCTCCCATCGTGACAGTTATCAAGGCCGCTGCGCATGCTTTTCATCAAATGCCGCCGTCCACTGTGATTCTGCTTGACGACAAAGCGCATATTGTCCACGGCCATGTGATACAGATTGTAGCAGCATCGCTTTGTCGTTATTCTCCTGATCGCCCTTCCCGTCACCCACGTTTTGCATACACTAGCTTTACACCAAGACATCCTCATACTCAACCCTCCCACACAGACCATCATAAGGTATGCTACTTCTATTGAGCTCACTTGCAACCCACTGATTCTAAAATTGACGTTCTGTCCGTGGCACTAGCCCACCATGTCCACCCCGAGCGAGAGAAGGCGGGTCCTGAACAGGGTTCTCAACCAAAACCCTTACGATGATGCAGAGAGACCAGGGCTCTGGATCTACCTGATTTGGCTCTGCCTAACTGTTCGAAAGGGTAGACAGGTAAGTTAGGCATGCTTTGCAGCCCTGATTATGTGCCTCGCCTTAGGAATGCAACCCTTCTGACCTTCCATCGTGTAGCCCGATTTCGAAGCCGTGGCAGAAGAGACCGGCTACTCGGCCCTCTACCTTGAGGAAGCCTTTCGGGAATTGTCTTTGCACGGTGACAAAGTTCGGGCTCTGGCTAATGAGACCATTGCTCAGACGGAGAAAGAGGACAACAAGGAGAAGAAGAAGAGGCAACAGGAGGCGTAAATAGCCTTTGTGATGACTAGATTTTCTCTTTGCCTTTGGGATCGTGTTCTTCCTGGAAGCGAGAATGCCGTCTTCTTTCTCGACCTCTGAATAGCTAGGTAGTGGGATTCATGCGTGACCTCTATTTCCCCACGAATTTACGATGTCTCATTATTTTTGCATTAATTTCCCAGCATGAGTAGGAGATGGGGCATGGGATTTCAGCTTAAGATAGACACACATCTTTTCTCTTTCTATCTCCTTTTCTAATAACGATTAATCACATCCACTCACCTTTTACTCAATCAAGATATCTCTCATGTACGTTATCACCTGATACGTTATCTACTGCCCTTCAGAGGAGGAATGAGCATGAGATCTAAAGCGTGCTTTCACGAGAAAACAATTTGCTACGCCACTAGGTCTTTATCAATGGTAGAGATACATAGAGGTGATTTACATGCAGGGACTTCGGGTTGGGCGATTGGAGTTCAAGATAATGAATTCAGTCAGTAATCTACATCCTGTTACAGCTATATGTTCTGGTTAATGTTGTAATGAACCAAGTCAAATTGGAAGGAAATCAGAATGGTATAGAGGCAACAATATTCAAGTGAATCTTGAAACTATAGAAGGACCCCAGAGATGAGCAAACTTCTTCCTCGACCCCTCCCCTACCTCGCCTTTTACACACTCACCCTCCTCCTCTGAACGACGCACTTCACCTTTTCATTCTCCTTGACTTGTCTGATCTCCTCTCTCTCTTCTTCCACGCACTACACCCTCTGTCTTCGGGCGACGCACTACACTGCATCTCCCAGTAACCTGTAAGTACTCTCCATCACGCTGATGAACACTTTTGCTCTGATAAATGGACTTACTGATGAGATCAAGAAGTCTCAACATCTACGTCATGGCACCTACGTCTCGAAAGGCCGCTCGCCCGGCCAAATTGGGCAAACACGAGGTCGGTCCCAAGATGTCTTGGGAGGAGAAGGTATACTTCCTCTGGCTCCACTTTCAAATGAAAGATGGAGATAAGGTATTTAGAACCCTTTTGAATTTACAAAAGAAGACCATACCAGGCTCACATGGTCTCTTTTAACTCCAGCCCAACCACGCCGCCGTTGCGGCCAAGTTGAATATCCCCCGTGACGCTGCGGTCAGGCGTTACACTCAGATCAAGAAGCTCACCAAGAATATTGAGGAGTCCATGGCGCCCAAGATGCACAGCTTTGGTTTCGAGGATGAGGAATTGAACAGGCTCTTTGAGGAGGTGGAAAAGAAATACGCACATGAGCTGGTCCTGCGCTAGGCGACCTGAATAGCTTCACCAAGTCCATCGAAGGGGGACGAAGACTTCCCGGGAGTACATACAGCCTTGCACATTTTTCATGGGGGACACGCCTTGTATTATGGGTCTGGATCATTACTTTGGCTTCCTGAGAGTCCGCCTATGTTCATAGATGTCGTGACCGCCATTGTCAATAGCTCCATACCGTTTATGGAATCAACATGAATATCCTCCGGTACCATTCCAGATATTTTGTAGACACAGAATAAGCACTCCAAATATCTGCAAGACTTATTATGAATCTGCTAGATTCTACTGCGTGGCCTACGAGGTATAGAATTGGGTATCGATTTCGGGTCACGTGAAACGCATGACCCTAACGGTTACGTTCAGTCAAACTATCAGCGGTAAAACTATAGATCAGTGATATCAATTGAAAAGCAAGACCTGGATATAGCTTGCTTGCTCGAAGCTGTTGAGAAGTCTGTAATTTCTTAGGCATCATGCGTAACCTTAACATCCAGCCTCTTCCATAACCACCAAGCATACTCCATTGGATTCGTTTGATACAGGACCTTAGTTTCCCCCTCACTACTTCATGACCTTCATAATCTCAAGATAACTCTCATTTGTACGTTTGCCTATCGACATATTTCTTCGACAGCACCTCTGGCCTCACTCTTAGTAATCTTCTCAACGCAATCATCTACAACCTTTGCCTCAATCACCTACCCTACATCTAATCGAGCTCACCACTAGGTCTTCCCTGTCCGTTCATCCTTGCAACCAGCCCAGATATTCTGTTCATCAAGATTTATTGACATATTCCTTCTATGCATCAGGAAATCAAGCCGCCATGCCTAACCGGGTCACCAAGGAGAAGGCTAAGCCGCGCAAGGCTCCCGAGTCGAAATTCAACAGCAAGGATACCACTGATAACAGCCTCGTGCTTCTCTGGCTTTGCGTCAACAACATCAGTGGAGACCAAGTAAGTCTCTTGTAGCCGTGGGCATTCTTTGTCTTGTCACTCCTACTTATACATCTACAGATCAACTTTGACGCTGTTGCTGCCGCGCTCAACATTACAACCATTGCTGCAAAGTTCCGCTTCCGCCGCCTGAAGGACAAGATGGATGCTAAGATGAAGGCCTTTGAAGAATCCAAGGAGGCAAAGCCTGAGTCCGCAACCAAGCCGGCCCAGCCAGCGATGGAGCCTGCGGACATTTGAGGCGAGCGCCCATGAGCATGCCTTGCAGACATATTCCCAGGACAGAGCTGCAGAGCACGAGATCATTTTTACTCAATCGGAGTGATCTTTTTTTTTTTCTTTCATGTCTTTCGACGGTACGTTTGCCATTTTGCAGAGGAAAGCAGTCGCACGTACACGATAATACCCTCGTACTACACCCGGCGATGAATGTGAAAAGAAATATTCCACAGAGGAACAAGTCCATGCTCTTTACTCCCTGTATTACGGAGCGAATGAAATTATGTCCGTAGTCATCATTGAGAGGCGTACGAGAGTGGCGTAGAAAAACTAAGAAAGTAAGATTGGATGCGCGGATCACCTAGTGGCTCAAGCTAGGCCGGTGTTTCAGAACAAAGAACTGCTGTACTCCATACTGTACTCCGTACAGTACATACAAAGCTGGATGTAATCACTAGTTAAACATACTTCTGTAGTTAAGTCAGGATGGGCGTAAAGTTCAAATCATTGTTTCTTTTGTGGGTTACACCCCATGACTGCACCCCGCAAGTGACTTAGGCTTGCATTTAGAATTCTAGATGGATTTTCTATAGGATGGCATTAACGACACGACAGAAAAGTTCATGGCACGACAAGGCTAGTCCTAATGAGGAATGCCCCCCCTTCGATACAGAAGGCTACATTCGAGATACGCAAGTTACCTACCGAGTCCATATGGATGTATAGCCCTATCTTTAGAAAAGACCATTGAGAAGACCATTGAAAAGACCATTGAAAAGACCATTGAAAAGACCATTGAAAAGACCATTCAAAAGACCATTCAAAAGACCATAGAAAAGGCTATAAAAAAGACCGTAAAAGAGGGCGATATAGTAGGAGGGGAAGTAGAATATTAACTGAGTCTATTATAGGGATAAATAGATAGAGGTCGCGTATATAGTCGCTGACGTTATTAGCGAGAAGCATTAATGTGAATCAGACAGAAGGACTCGGTAGGTAACTCGTGTATTTCGAATGTAGCATTCTGTATTGAAGGGGGCGCATTCCTCATTTGGACTAGCCTTGTCGTGCCATGAACTTTTCTGTCGTGTCGTTAATACCATCCTTTCTATATAGTACTCCGTACAGACAGGACAGGGCCTTCCGTACAGTCGAAAGGCCCAGTCGGTGTCAAAAGTACGCTGATCGGGTCACCAGTGAGATAAGGACCCATTATCGCCATCGGAATCGATCGATCGAAAATAGAACAAGATTAGGGTGCAGTATGAGATGACTGGGTTGGTGGAGCACAGGTATGGACTTTTTGCCCGAAGCAGCAAGAGAGCCTTCAACAAGTTTAGCTCGAGTCCGTAGGCTCTGTGGAATAATGATGGAAAACAGACGGCGACGTATGCTCCATATTATACCCCGTTCACAAAGCATCTATGACTGGTTAGTATGTATACTCGGGAGACGGGATTGACAGCGGAACGACTAAACGCGCCAGCAAAAAAGGGGCAAAAGATCTCCGTCAACACTTTCTTCATAGCCCCCCCCCCCCCCCAACATGGTCCTATTCGAGTGCGTACGAAGCGCGGGCGGAGAAGGTCCAGCGGGCAACCGCCATTCTCCTTTTCCCCAATCGACCACGACTCTACGAGCCAACGAGAAGGACGACGGACGGAGGTTGATATCCCGTCAAAGAATTAAACTCCAATTCCCAGAGTCTCAATTCCGGATCGACTCTTGCTTTGTTCCGGGGGCTTCCCCTAACGCGCCCGAGTCGATGGAGGGGGCCCATTTAGCGCGCCAGTCGTCCAGCCCCCAGGCAGTCGGGTCGTCCAGGAAGCCAAAATTGGCACTCGGTTCACAGGCTCGTGCCGCTAAGAACGCGATGGGTCCACGGTCCTGCTTGTCGATCACATCGTCACACCAATCACTGCGCTGGCGGAAATTGGGGGCTCCATCGGGCTACTAGTCCGCCCACTGGCCTCGGCCTTCTTCCCACTACTCCTGCTTGTCCAGTAAACTCGGCATTTGGTCCCCATTCACAGGTTCGCGTTGAGATTGTGCCAAATGCGCGCCAGTGCGAAAATGGATCAGCCGACCTTCATCCCCTGGACAAAGACTCCACCCTCGCCTGCCAATTGCACGATTTTCACGATTTTCACGGGTCACTGGCGGTTGGGGAGCACGACGAATTTCTTCTCGTGCCGTTCGTTGGTCCCCAGTCAAAAACGGAATCAACGTTCTGGGAAGTGGACCCTCACGACGTCTGGCTGGGGCCGCAACACCAGCTCGCAGCCTATGATGCAGCCTGGACGTTCACTCCGAAGAAGCTTCTACTAGCTGCATACGCCGTTCCCCATTCGAGGGCCCAACTGTCGAAATTGCGGCAAGAAAAAGAAAAGAGAGGAAAAAGGGACCCCTCGTGTTGGTCAGGAGATGATTCGTGCTCCGCGAGATCATATCGTGTGTGTGGCCTCCAGCACCATTTGAGTTTACCAAAGCCAGTTTAGGCACCACAGAAGACCGTTCATGTGTCAGAATCTACGGCAAATGGAGCACTCTTAATCTTTTGATTTAGCGTTCGAACCGTCGTGCCGTATCAGCCTGGCCCCATCTGTGCCACTGCCCGCGGTGACGGATTATGGAGAAGACCGGACCACCTCTTCCCCCTGATCCAGGCACAATCCAATCGGTGATGGATCTGCATGCCGACCGCTGGACCAGGCAAGTCGCTGCGGATTGCTGGTTGCCCATGGCCGAGGGTGTGAGCTTCGACTTTTCCGTTCTCTTTTCCTCTTTCCATTCCTCCTCTACTATGCTCTCTTGATGGACGCTGAACCGTATGACGGTCTCTCAATTGCGAGCTTCAAAGCTGTCATGACTCCGGCTGTTTGATTATTCACGGCGGCCGTTGGTCTAGTCGATCCACTCTCAAGTTGTTTAGTTTGAGAGTTTTTCCCCCCCTTTGCCTTTCGACGTCACCACGGGCTCTCTCTCGTGCGCCCCCAATTCTCTCTCTGGTGGGCTCATAACACAGTTTGGGCGTATCAGATTGATTACTATCTAATCAAGATGGTGGCTTTAAAGAAGCTTTTTCAAGCTGAGCGGGCGCCATCGCGCCCATCAACTGGTACAGGACTCAATAGAACGGAGTCGGGGGAACCATACTTTGGCACCCTCGAGACACCCACTCGAAGCAAGTTTCAAAGCCTTTGGTCTGCCGCTCCTCCATCACCAGCACTCCCATCACCAGGGTTAAGAGCATTCCAAGCACATGATGTAGCACATCATTTCGATCAGATCGAGAAACAGTTTGAAGATCTACATCAGCATCTGAGTGAACGACCGATATCTTCTCAGTCGCAGTACCCGCTACCTGTACCGGGTCGATCTGTTCGCAAGGATCCCAATGCTCGACATATTGATCTAATGGAAGCTATTGCTCTCTCAGAGCAGACCATTGACAGCGATTCCCCAGTCGCATCACCTCCCACCAGTCCATATAACGAGGATGTTGCGGAACGAAACATGACCAGGTTCCTTCGCATTCAATATCGCAGTGGACTTGCCAGCTGCCGAATATTTTCCGCTCTCTATCAAGAAGATGTTGCGGACAGGAACATTGCAAAATATAACAGCTCGTCGCGCTCACTTTCGTCATTAAGCTGTCGCTCGTCTCCTCCCGCTCCAGGGAGGGTACGCAACCTCAGCCCCGATGGCCAAAGAAAACGCAATCCCAGAAAGTCTAATTGGACATCGGATGGCGATTTGCGTACTCGCTCTACCTCTCGGGAGAGTGCCTCTGGTATTTCGTCGCGAAATTCGCAAGCGAGCAGTTTACTACGCCAACAAAGATCAGCACCAAGTCTGTCCCCTGACGAGGATGGAGAAGAGGCATCACCTCCCGTGATCCAGCGTTTGGGCGTCCCTCCTGCGCACAAGCAGGGCAAGCGATGGAGTAATACTCCATTGCCAGATAGCCCCACACTACCTACTCCCATGAGTGACGGCAGCAGTGCCAGCGAGAACCGTGCGGAAAGTTCTCCAACGCCCCGAGCTCCACGTACGACAGCCCGAAGCTCATCTTTGACTGCAAGGTCACTATCCCCGCCTTCTTCATCGGGTTCAGCCTCCCGAAAGAACGTGCGAGATCTGTCCATCAATACGGAACTGGCCACCCAAGGTCGGCCGAAAATCGTGCACCGCGCCATTGACCCCCCCACGCCCTCGACTCTTGAGATGAAGCGGGCCCCGAGTATTGCGGAGGTTATGCATAGTCCTTTGCCTGCGCCAAGCCCTTCACAGCCTTCTCCTCGGTTCAAGGTATCAGAGATGATGGAGATGTTCACCAAAGCCTACATGTCTACGCAGGCCATCAGCCCCCATCCCACGTACGAGAGTTTGCAGGATGCCATTGTTCGAGAGGTCAATTCTCACGAGGCTTTCAAGAAAGTTCCCATTCCTGATGCCGGTCCCCCCTTCACTCCATCTCCTACTCATGAAACATTCGAGAACCGACCCCGGTCCGCACGTCCTGGATTGAGCCGTAGTGCCTCTGCCGGGTCAATCTCCAAAATCATGAGAAAAAGCTCCTTCAGAAAACACAAACGAAATGCCAATTCTCGCCAGAGCATCTCTACAAGTATTTTCCGCAGAGCCTCTCCTTCTCCGTCTCGCCGGCGACACACCGATGCCCCGGTCCCCTCGCCAGGCCTTCTTGCCGACATTGAAAAATCACAGGAAACTGCCTCGCCGGAGCAATTGACATATATGGATGTCTTATATCGTGCTAGTAACGACAAGCCCGGCACGTCCAGCTTTAAAAGTCTTCAACCCTCGCGGAAGCGCGGACGTTCGGACTCGACTTCTAATCTTTCTGCCATCATCCGTGCCAACAACTCAGACAGACCCCATACCCCAGGTCCCGTTGGTGCCATCTATTGCATGAAGGCACACTCGAACTCTTCCAAGGACAGCCAGGGTAGTGTCTCGTATGAAGACAGTGACGACGATATCATCCACCTTCCCAGTGTCGCCGTACCGCCCCCGCGTGTGCAGATCGACGCTGTCGATGATAACAACGTGCGTTACGTGATTGACTCTGCTACCGCTACCGATGCGCAAAGACTCATCAATTGGCCCCAGCGCTCTCGTCGCACCAAGTCGCCTGCACCTACCTCGGCGCCCTGCGAGAACAGTCTGTCCCCGCTATCTCGCGCTCGAATGCAGCTCCGCGGCGCTCGCTCCGTCGAGACCCACTGAATAGCAGCGAAACCATTACTTTGCTGACTATCTCAAACTGAGAAGACCTTCTGTTCTTCTTGCATGATAATGACGTTCTCATGATACCTCAACACTTGAAAAAGCTTGTCTGGTCCCTTCAGTGTCCGTTTCTCTTTCTATAGCGATTTTGAACATTTGACTTGAAGCGTCTGGCCTGGACTTGGAATCTCAAGTCTGCTTCTTTCCTTACTCCTTCCCACACACTCTACTACATTACCTGGTTCCTCACCTATCAGATCACTCCCTACATTTATACCTCTTTCCTACTTCTACTACATCCGACCTACTCACTCTTGTCATTACTGTTTCCTATCGCTCGTCATCATCGGCCTACTTTATCGTCGATCGTCCGCCAGCACATGTGGCTCCTCGTTGTAATTTCTTTTTCTTTACTCTGTCTTACTCTAAACCGATATCGGCGCGCATCCTACGGATGGCGTTTCTATCGATTGATCTGCAGAAGTTATCAAATTTTTTACTATACGGCTATCAATGCAACAAGCTTAACAAATAAACACATATTATTCTGACACTCTTATATATAAGCTTTCTTTGTATTTGCAAGGAAACATTGGATAATTTAGTTTCATCGTTTGTACACCAGTCATCTCCGCTGGTGAAATACTCTTGGGTTGCGGCTTAGTCCACTGTTGAAAGCATGTGGTTTGGGGATCTATTTATCTAGATGGGATCTACACCTTTGCGAGTCAGTGACCGACTCAGGCACAGTCCAACAAGGCTGTGCATTGCGGGGATCAGGAACGTGGAGAAGTTTCTCTAGAGTCTTAGATCCGTTCCTTAGCATATTAATAGCACCAGCGCTAACGTAGGCAATGCTATTTCAGACTTTCACAGGATATCTTCGCTTTGAATACAATTGGAAAGGAAGCATGAAGAATGAAATACGTTACTCATTTCCGCTCATAGGCTCATTGTAACTAACCACTTCCGTGCCCGTCCTAGCACAACATCCTTTTCCAGTCCCAACTCCACAACAATGACAGGATGCACAAGGTATCTTGGATGGGGCCCCTGTTGGTAAACCACTTCACATATAGGGGTCCAAATGATTTTTACGACTTAGAAACGCTCCAGATTCAACTCTACGTTCTCAACAGGAAGGCAGAGAAAGAAAGACTACATCTCTTGCTCTTGGAAGAGCTGAGACGAAGATTTGCATGGAGGTCAGAGATGTGACCAGTCGGCTTAGTACGAACGGCCGAACATGCACCACTTCTCGGCGAAGTTGGAGCAGCTGGGGTTGATACACTTGGTAACACCGGGCTCGATACCCTCGGGCTGGTCGAAGGGAATGCACAGCTTTTTCGAAATTATCAGCATATCTCCATTGGAACTCTCATAGGAATGGTACTCACACTCTTGCCACCCATTGAGGGCGCCTTGGCATCGGTGACCTCGCCGGACTCCTCTTCAGCCTTACGGGCACTCTGGTTCTTGATAGACTCTTCACAGTCCATTTGCAGACAGAAGGGCACGAGGCAGAGCTATGAAAATCAGTGTCTGAGTTAATGATTGAGGGAAAGGGGTGCATCTCACGTTCTTAGCGTTCAGGGCTGGGGTGAAGTCGTCCCAGTTAGTAATCTGAGGGCGGTGGGCCTTGAACTCGGCGTCGGCGCGGTTGTACATGTCGGTGTGGATAGTCTCGAGGAGAGCAGTGGTGCCGCTGACCAGGTCGGCGATAGGAAGGGTCGACTTGCCATCCTTTCCAGGGATATCACGACGGGCAGTGGTGACGAAGTGGCCAGCAGACTCACCAGGGCCGAACTCCAGGCGGAGGGGCACACCACGAAGCTCCCACTGGTTGAACTTCCAACCGGGGGAGTAGCCTTCACGCTTGTCACTCTGGACACGGACACCGGCAGCTTCAAGGACGGTGACCAGGCCATCAATCTCAGCGTAGAGCTTCTCACGGTCCTCTTCGGTGCTCTTGGCAGTGATACCGACGGGGACGATAACGACCTGGGTCTCGGCCACACGAGGGGGAAGGACCAGACCCTTGTTGTCACTGTGAATCATGACCATGACACCCAGGGTACGGGTCGACAGACCCCAAGAGTTCTGCCAGACGTGCAGAGCCTCCTTCTGCTCACCGGCCTTCGCGGAGGGGTCCTCAACGGTGATGTTGAACATCTTGCTGAAGTTCTGGCCCAGGCCGTGGGAGGTACCACCCTGGATACCACGACCAGTGGCAGGGATGTAACCTTCAACGGTAGTGGTGTAGAGACCACCGGCAAACTTCTCCTTCTCGGTCTTCTGGCCCTTGACCACGGGAACGGCAAGAAGCTCCGAGTAGATATCGGCATACCAATCAAGAATCTGAAGCACTTCCTTCCGGGCAGCATCCTCAGTCAGGTGGGCAGTGTGGCCCTCCTGCCACAGGAACTCACGAGTTCGCAGGAAAGGCTGGGGGTTCTTGAACTCCCATCGGACGACGGAGTTCCACTGGTTCAGGCGCAGGGGCAGATCACGGTGGCTGCGAATCCACTTGGAATAGTAGGGGTACATGACAGTCTCGGAGGTAGGACGAATCGCAATCTTCTTCTCAAGAGGAGTCGAGCCACTAAAATAAAACATTCCGTTAGTATTTTCTCTTGCCCAAAATTCAATGAGGAAAGGGGTCCATACGCATGGGTGACCCAGGCGACCTCAGCAGCGAAGCCCTCAATGTGGTCCTTCTCACGCTGCAGCACATCCTCGGTAACGAACAAGGGGAAAGAGCAGTTCTTGACGCCCATCTTCTTGATCTTCTTGTTGAACCAGTCTTGAATTTCCTCCCAGATGAAGTACGAAGCGGGCTAAGATAGATACACATTAGTGATGGGGCACGCGACTAGGAACAGAGCACGATGGAATTACCTTCAAGATGAAGCAGCCCGACACGTCATAATAGTCCAGCATATCTCCTGGAGGTGCATTAGCAGTCATTCTATATTTCACGGTCTCCTTCCTTACCCTTCGTGAGAACTTGCTGGTACCAGTCAGGGAAGTTCTCATCCTTAGACGCATCGATACCGATCAAAGCAGCGCCGTCAACCTTCTTCTTAGGGGCCTTCTTGGCCTCCTTCTTGCCCTCGGTCTTCACACCAGCAGCATGTTTCGCAGCCTTCTCAGCCTTGGCCGCAGCCAGCTTGGCGGCCTTCTCGGCCTTCTTCGCGGCGTTCTTGGACTCGCCCGCCTGGTTATCGGCGGGGTTCTGAGTGCGATCGGGCAGGGTTGTGGGAGCAGCAGCGCCCGCGGAGGCGGCATCGATGGGATTCTGGCTAGCCATGATGGTGGTAAACGAGCGCCTGGCTAGTAAAAAGAGAGTAGGCAAGACTCAAGAGCAGAATGGGAGGGAGGAGTTTCTCGAAGTATGACTCCTTCAATAAAAAGTGGGATGTTATCTGCGACACCGCCTCAGTGCGGCAGAACTTTTAGCGTGGCCTCCGACCAAAACCCCCCGTCCACGCCAGCAGAGCTCTGTCATCGCACCTGAGAGCCCTGTTGTTTGACTTAAATTCGCCATGGCAGGCATCTTCGAGGCTCCGCGGAATGCGGACACGCTTTGTGAGTACTCTGACCCCGAAGGTCATGGCATCATACTAATGCAGCTCGCACACAGTCTTGGGTGGGCAGAAAATCACCGGTGCCGACGTCCGGGAGCAGAATGGTAGGTTCAGCACTCAGCCACTTGAGATCAATTCATTTTGACTGACAGTGTACAGTTCTTGCGACTCAAGCTATTTCCAATGTCATCAAGAGCTCCTTCGGCCCTTCCGGCTTGGACAAGATGATGGTGGACGACATAGGGGTATGGAATTTACTGGAGTACCCCGCAGGATTAGAAAGCTCCTTTCTAACTGCTTCTTGTGAGAATAGGACGTTACCGTGACGAATGATGGTGCTACCATTCTGTCCCTGCTTGATATCGAGCACCCTGCGGGCAAGATTCTCGTGGACCTGGCTCAACAGCAGGATAAGGAGGTATGGGTCCTGGATACTGTTTTTGGAACATCTTAGTTTTTTTTTTTTTTTTTTTTATCTCTCGCTGATCCATCTCTGATTAGGTTGGCGATGGCACGACTTCCGTTGTTCTCATTGCTTCAGAGCTTCTGCGGAGAGGAAACGAGCTGATGAAGAACCGGATACACCCCACGACTATCATCAACGGATACCGCCTTGCGCTGCGCGAAGCCGTCAAGTATATGAACGAGAATGTGACAACAAAGGTGGATAACTTGGGCAGGGACATCTTGGTCAACATTGCAAAGACCTCCATGTCTAGCAAGATCATTGGTTCGGACTCGGATTTCTTTGCGAACCTGTGCGTGGACGCCATGCTGCAGGTCAAGTCAACAAACCAGAGGGGCGAGGTCAAGTACCCCGTCAAGGCCGTCAACCTCCTGAAGGCCCACGGAAAGAGTGGTCTCGAGTCGATGCTCGTCAACGGTTATGCTCTGAACTGCACTGTGGCCAGTCAGGCTATGACGACCCGTGTCACTGATGCCAAGATTGCCTGCTTGGACATGAACTTGCAAAAGGAGCGCATGAAGCTGGGTGTTCAGATCACCGTGGATGACCCCGATCAACTCGAGAAGATCCGTCAGCGTGAGGCTGGAATCGTTCTGGAGCGTGTTGAGATGATCCTGAAGTCTGGTGCCAATGTCATTCTGACCACTAAGGGTATCGACGACATGGTTCTGAAGGCGTTCATTGAGAAGGGTGCTATGGCTGTCCGCCGCTGCAAGAAGGAAGACCTTCGCCGTATTGCCAAGGCCACCGGCGCTACCCTTGTTAGCACCCTGTCCGATCTGAACGGCGACGAGAAGTTCGAGGCATCATACCTCGGTCACGCCGACGAGGTCTCTCAAGAGCGAATTTCCGATGATGAGTGTATTCTCGTCAAGGGCACCAAGGTTCACACTTCTGCCTCGATTATCCTGCGCGGCGCCAACGAGTTCAGCTTGGACGAGATGGAGCGCTCCGTGCACGACACGCTCTGCGCCATTAAGCGTACTCTGGAGAGTGGCAGCATTGTGCCTGGTGGTGGTGCTGTGGAAACCGCACTGCACATCTACTTGGAGGAGTTTGCCGTCACAGTGGTATGTTGCATCTGGCTTTCTCTCTTTCGATTTTATCGATTCTAACTCTTCTTCTAGGGCTCCCGCGAGCAGCTTGCCATTGGCGAGTTCGCCCAGTCTCTGCTCATTATTCCGAAGACCCTGGCCGTCAACGCTGCCAAGGACTCATCCGAGCTTGTCGCTCAGCTCCGTGTCCGCCACGCCCTGTCACAGCGTGTGCAGGATGGTGATGCCAACGAGGAGGAGAAGGCTATTGCTAAGAAGAAGACGTACCGTAACTACGGATTGGATTTGACGAAGGGACGCGTTCACGACACTCTGAAGGCTGGTGTTCTGGAGCCCAGCATGAGCAAGATTAAGCAGTTGAAGAGTGCTGTTGAGGCTTGCATTGCCATCATGCGTATTGATACGATGATCAAGCTGGACCCCGAGCAGAAGCAGGATGACGGCCATGGCCACTAAATGTGCTGTTATGTTTTTTGCTATCCCCAAGTTTTTAAAAATCAAAGTAATTGGATGTTACATAGAAATGAAAAAGCAGTGAATGGGGTAACCTCTACTGCAACTACATATATATGAACGAGTTGGTCAAATGGGATATTTACTGTAAGATATAGATGAAAAGATTGTTGACATGTCCATCACTGCCGCCTCTCAGCCATCAGTCGCCGGTACTCCTCCACAATGTTCTTTCTCTCGCTGGCCAATTCCTCCCGGCGTCTCAAACTACCCACGGCGTTTGGCACATTGGCAACATCGACCCTCGCTCCACCACGAATCTTGAAGATCTCCCTCGGCTTCGTCAATTGCGGTGGCGCCGGCGCAACCTCAAACGGGTTGACCTGTCTCTCCTTATCCCGCTTCTTCAGCTTTGCCCATGGGTCGGGGTCATCATCACCACTATCCTCGGCACCATTGGCCTTCTTATTCTTTTTAGGGGCCTTCTTCTTAGCTTTCCCTCCCCGAGCTTCGGCTTCCCACTCCTTCAGAATGTCAAGCTGCTCTTCCATTTCGGCTTCACGCTCCTCGCGCTCAGCCTGCTCCCGCTCCTTGATCTTGGCATCCTCCTCACGCCAGCCCGCTTGTAGTCGTCGCAGGTGCTTTTCGTGCTTGGTCATCTTATGGTCACGGACCTTGGCACCCGAGTTGTTAGACTTTGTCATCGCAGAGAGCGGAAGCTCACGGTCGACACGCGCAGCAAAGTCTGCCAGCCTCTCTCCAGGCATGATCTTGGGCATCGCTTGTTTGGCTTCCTTCTCGTCGGGGGCTTCGGTCTTTTGAGGTTTGACCTGCGCGGGCTTCTTTGAGGAGTCATCTTGGGTATCTGTTGCTTCGCGCTTCCGCTTTTTGTTGCCTTGCTTCTTTTCTCCGGTCTCCAGTCCCGACGGGCGCTTCCCAGTGGTAGTGTATTGCATCAACCGCTGGAACGCCTTAGGGGTATCGTCTTCCGAGGCATTCTTGCGCCGAGAAGTCGCAGGGCCTTTGGGAGGCTTTCCTTTGTTCTCCTGTTGTGGCTGTTGCTTTTTCCCGGGCCTTTTTCCGGGCTTCGTCTTGGGCTTGGGTTGCTGCTCGCGGGCCGGTAGTGCTTTCGCGATCACCGATGGCGGGAGGTCGAAGTGGCTGGACAGAGCGCGAGATGTTAGACTTGAGTCCCTAATTGGGCTGATTCGATCCAAAATTCGACTTACGAGTCATCCCTCTCACGTCTTTTGTGCTTGTGAGGCATCTTGAGGTGTTGATGGTGTTCAACTGTTGAAGAGCGGAGTGTTCAGCGGAACTTTTTTTTCGGGGCGATCGAGTTTATCAGCCAATCAGTGTCTTATCGCAGCGACTCCCGGGAAGTATGTATTCTCTTCTTCGCGCCGCGTACAGGCTTGAATGGAATGATATATACTTGGACGCTGCAGCGAAAAAAACTCGATAGAATCATAGCTTTACCATAGCTGTATCAAAATTAAAATGACTTCTACAGTGGTTTCTCAAAAGTTTGAAACCAGAGCTGGAAGAAAAGGCATAGACAGACACGCTCCAACTTCCTCAGTTTCTGAAAATCTTTCGGAATGTCTTTTGAGTTATCTTGCCGAATCGCTCAGGCAATATCTCTCGATTTGTCTTTCAATGCATGTCCAATGAAATAATTTCAAAATTTGATCGGGGGTTCAGAAATATGAATCACCCTCATATACGTTACCCTGGTATTGTTGACCTACAACATGGCTTATGACGCTTAAAGCTGGCACATGCTCATTGTGTAGATATGAGATTACCGGCAAGTTCTCAAGGGAGATGAAGTCCCTTGACAGCAGTGTCTTAAATAGTGATCCATTAGAACCTACAGGTAACCCCGAGAGATGCAGTAAATGTAAACGGGTATGCCGCGCTAGAAAAAGAAATGCCCTCCACTGCGCCAGAAAAATATGCCCACGCCAATAACAACACCATAAAACAAACACCTGCAGTATGCATAGAAACGTAACAAGGACATGAAGACTTCAGATATTATTCATCTTCATCATCATAAGAGTCTGTCGTGGCAGCCCATCCACACTGCCAGTCTCGACCATCCTTTTGGCCCTGGGTTCGAAGCTCACGAGCTTCAGGCCCTTCGCGCCAGCATCGGGCGAGGTAGTCATCGCTGACGGTAATCAGCTCTCCATTGACCGTCCAGGAAATGCCAGTGACTTCCTTTTGGTGCCCCTCGACGAGAGGCGTGCCAGAGTCATAGATTGGGATCGTATCCTCGAGTCTTCCAGACAAACCCACACCCGAATTGGTGCGACGGAGACCGGATCGAGTTGTGAAGAGGGAGCTTCGGGTAGGGGGCAGATCATTCAACAAAGTCTTCACAGGCGACTGCAGAAATCGCTCATCGGTAGGAAAAAGAATTGGGCAGTGATCGCTGCTACCAACTGCCAACATCTCTGCACGATCATTGGAGGCTTTGCGCACCGCGAGCTTAACGTAGAAAGTGGAAACTTGAAGTCGTGGGTGGCGGAATCCATAAAGGGGGCCTAACCCCTCTTTATCAGAGCCGCCCGATCGTCGAGGGTGAGCATGGTTGAGGGAGAGCTCGGGTGCATGCCCAAGCACCAAGTGAGAGGTCGAGTATGTGTAGACGGTTCCATCTCGACAAAGGGTGTACAGCCTTGCCCCATCCCCACCGAAAGCCATTGATGTCAGGCCAAAGCGCCGGTACTTGATGTGACTGTCGGGCTCGCGAGTGGTGGACAACGGGAGAACAGGTCGGCCACGGCGGTTGTTATGCGCTGTCCGCAAATCCCAAAGTCGGACACTGGCGCTAGCCTCGGATGCCGTAACGAACAGATTTTCCTGACCGGGCGGAAGAAAAGCCAGTGAAGTGACCGTGATG